AACCCCAAAGCCACTCTATTGTGGCAGGGTTGAATCAGACAGTTTCTCCCCATCCAGACCCTCACAGACTCCAGAGTCTAGATAAGCCGCTTCATCTAGGTTGCCCTGAAGCTGAGCACCAACCACCTTCTCAAAAACCTTCCCCAAGAAGGGAAGGTTGGAGACTGGATGTAAGTTGTCTCACACAGTTGGGTCCAAGGATGACCTCTTGAGAAGAGGGGGCACCACTGCCTCCTTCAAGGCAGGAAGTACCTCCCCCTCTATCTACAGGCTGGATAATTGTACATTATTAACCACCGCTTGGACCCAACCACATGTCACATCCTGGGAGGCCTTAACCAACCAGGAGGGGCATGGGTGAAAAACACAGGTGGCCAAATTCACAGCCACAAGAACCCTATCCACTTCCTCAGGATCAACCAGCTCAAACTCCTCCCAGATAACAGGGCTCAGACATATCTCAGTCACTTCCAAAGGAAGTGAATATCAGTTGAATATCGAGGAAAAATTTCAACAGTGAATAGAGGAACATGTTCAATGACGGAATTGGCTTAGGAGGTGGGGGACTTTCCTTCACTAGAGGAGCTGAAGCAGAAGCTGAATGGCCATCAATCATGCTGTAATGGCAGACTTCTGTACTGGGCATGTTTTTCTCTCAGGACCCCTTCCCACTTCTAAAAATTATGGAGGACCCCAAAATAGCTTTTGTTTGTATGGGTTATATTTAACATACAGGTAGTCCTCGAGTTACGAAGGCAACTGGGACTGGAATTTCTGTCGCTAAGCAACGCGGTTGTAAAGCACAATGTCATGTGACTGCATCACTTAGCCATGGCAATCCTGGCAGTCTCCATTGCTATCATTAAGCAAGGATCGTGGGTCTTTAAGTGAGCACCTCCTCACAACTTCCAGCCGACTTGCAACAACCAAAGTCAGTGGGGAAGCCGGCAGGAAGTTGCAAATCCCAGGCAGCTCACAAGTAAGCTGGCAGGCAGGTAAGTGTCTGCTGCCAGGTGGGAGAGGGAACAAGGTGGTTTGTGTGGGGGAGGGTGCGCGAGAGTCCAGGGAGGATGTGCAAATGGCCAAGGAGGCGTAGCACGAGCACAGCGAGGCTCGGGGAGGGTGCATGGGTGTGAGAGACTTACCCAAGCAACTTGTGATCTTCCCCGCCAGCTTCCCCAATGACTTTGCTTATGGGAAGCCAGCAGGGAAGGCCGCAAATCACAATCACATGACCGTGGGACACTGCAACTGTTGCAAATGTGAGCTGGTTGTCAAGTGCCCAGATCGCAATCACATGACCATGGGGGTGCTGGGATGGACAGAACTCCAAGGACTGGTTGTAACCACCACTCATTCAGTGCTGTCATAACTTCAGTCGCTGAATGAGTGGTTGTTAACCAAGGACTACCTGTATTTACTGTATTAAAATTTAAATTGATGCATTTGCTGCCACTATCGCTTCTCCTGATTGTTTGTTGGGATATTGTATTACTTTTCAACATAGACTAGCAAATAATTTTGATTTCGTGGACCCCTGAGAGGATCTTGGGGGACCCCCAGGGGTCCTCAGACCATACTTTAAGAAATACTGGACTAGATTATCTACAAGTTCCCCTCCCAGAAGTAGTAAATTCCTGGGTAATCGTTACTTAAGATAAAGATCAGGGATAGTCTGATAACATCCTTGTTGATCTTCTGCAAATCACAAAGAGATTTAGATTCTATCCTACCCTGTATCTTAAATGGAACGGGCCACAGATTGCACAGCTTATCAGACAAAACACAACTGAGCCCAAGGCTAGCCTGACAGAAGTGATGTTTTGAGTATTTATGTGCTTCAGCCTCCCCCCGCCCTCGTTCTCCCCCCACTGCCTCTGGATAGCAGTTATAATCTGAGAGGTTCTAGCAGCCTGCTTCCACCCACTTTGTCCGCAGCAACAGGTGCAAAATGAGTCACAGGCAGGCCAAATTCTCCTAATCCCAGCCAGTTATTTGCTCTCTTCCTGCCTGCAAGGCATTTAGCTTCTACTTGTGGGATTCCTGGAGGCCATTGCAGGAAAAAAAAATGCTGGGCTAGAGGCCTGTGGCTGTCCAGCACGGCTTTCTCGATATTCTTCAGCACCAGAGGTAAAGCCAGAGTCCTCAGGCAGGCAGACCGTAGCTCTCCAATTCTGTCCCCCACGTGTCTTTATCAGCTTAATAAAACGGCTGTTTCCTACCCGACCCAGCAAACACTGATACCAAATTTTGAAACCAGTCCTGACAGCTGCCGGCTTAGTAATGTGTATCCATCAGGCTGAATAATTACAGCGTAAACAGAAAGGTCTGCAGGGCCTGGATCCAGATAACAAAAAAGCCTTATTATTTTACTTGGTCTGTACCGATGCTTTTCATCCACCCAATAACTGCTTTGGCAGATTACAATAAAAAACAGTAAACATTAAAAAAAAACACCAGTAAATTAATAAGCCAGACAGGAAAGCACACACCCGGAAGCCACTTCTCCAGTATAATGTCACCATTTAAATAAGTCAGTAAATGAAGGAACAGGAATGTCGTTGCCAAAAAGATATTAATGCAGTCACCAGGTGGCCTATCTTAGGGAAGGCATTGCTATGAATGAGGCCCCATAGGGAAGGTCTTCTTCAGGGCATCTGTGCGAGGTCAAAACCTGCACGACAGCAGGAATAGCACTGTGACTGAAGGCCCACCTCTGTGGTACTCATGTGCAACACTCATTCATGTTCAAAAGGGTTAGGGCAGTGTTTCTCAACCTTGGCAACTTTAAGACGGGTGGACTAACTCCCAGAATTCCCCAGCCATCATCCCCCCTGGCTGGGGAATTCTGGGAATTGAAGTCTACCCATCTTAAAGTTGCCACAGTTAAGAAACACTGGATTAGGGCTTCAGCTCTGTGTGTGGAACACACTAGGTTCACTACCTACGTATTTATTCTGTTTATGGATGAATTTGGCTTTTTTCTTTTTTTATGCGAAGTATTTCTGAAAAATGTAGCTGGCAAAAACATCTAAGAGGCGTTCCTCATTTTCCCAAAGCATGAAATGCCATTTCTTAAATGGTGTCTGCCATAGAATATATTGTAAAATAGGGGGAAAAGCATATTCTTGGTGTTTGGAGCGATCCTAAGCCTACAGTATGTAAATTTAATGTATTCAGTAGCCCTGTTTCTTTAACATATTTAATGCAGTTAGCCACTGATCCTGATTTCCTTATTGGTAATTCACACTGAGACAAAAATGACCATTTGGGGAATAGACCCCACTCATGCCTCCAGGACGAACCTGCTGTCCCATAAGCCCTTGCACCAGAAGAACATTAGCAAAGCTTCGTTAGGCCACTAGCCCGTCCCACCGGCCAGCCAACCAGCCAGTGGCAGATTCGGCTTGCCCACTGGAGCCAATCAGAGCTTGGGAGGTGTGTTCGGTGCTGCCAAGCCTTGGCAGCAAGTTCTGTACTAGAGAGGCTTCCTTGTGGCCATTCTTTCCCTCCAACTTTTTTTCTCAGAGGACTATAGATTTGAAAGGGGTGAATCGGTGATCTTATGGCACCAGTGACTCTATGAAGTTAGTTTCAACCCTATAAATCAGGGTTCCTCAACCTCAGCAACTTTAAGATGGGTGGACTGGGGAATGCTGGCTGGGGGATTCTTGGAGTTTAAGTCCACCCATCTTAAAGTTGCTGAGGTTGAGGAACCCTGCTATAAATGATTGAGTCTATTTTGAATTAAATTTAACCCCCCAGGGGTTGCTTGACGGGGTTAACTGGTATTGCTGCAACACAGGAAGTCCTTACTGACCCAGTTAAGATACTGCAGGAACAGGACCAATGTATACATCAAAACCATAAAATTAATTGACCAAGGCATCAGTGTCAGCCCTGCGAGGTAGTCCAGAGAAGAAGCACAACCAGAAGTACTACCCCTATCTTTATTGTAAGGTTCCGTTAACAGAATCTTGCAAGTCGGAAAGTATTTCTCCCCTCCTTTCCTTTTACTGTCCGGAAAACAAGGGAGGGTCCCTTCTGAGACATTTCTCACACCCCTTTTCCTTCTGTGGGCTGAGATAGCTTTTCAATGACAGTTGCCCAGTCTGTGGCTCTCCCTCCCATCTCCCAAGGTCATTTCACAGATCATTGCAATCTGATGTCCCTGATACTGTTTCTTAACCCATACAGGTCCCTCTCCCTCTTTGTATAAATGTTTATAAATCTATCTATCTTTATGCCCTAATTTAGATTGGTCTTCTAGTGAAGTTTTCTTCTAATTCAATTCCTGGTTTTAGGGCAGCTTTGCCATTTGCCAAATTATTTTCAGGCCTTGTTCCTACAACAAACTTATCTCAGTTAGCACCCATCTAGTCATATAACCTTATTGATAATTGGCAACACAGAATGACGCTACCTGGGACATAAATCACTATTTGGGGAATACAGAGTCACCCCCTTTTTCTAGGAAATATCTAGTTTCCATGAGCTTTTGCAGGAACCAGGAAAGAACTGCAAAATTTCATGGCATCGTTAGCTAGTGTTTGGGGAAGATGTTCTGTGGGGTCACACTTTGGCAGTGAGGACTTCAACTGAGAAATTTGTTTTTCCATATGTTCATTCTCTCCACCCCTTTTTACTGGGTCAGGAGGGAGATAGGCGGCTTTGCACAGATAGCCCCTATTTCTCTTCTGATCCAGTAAAGTGTGCTTTTTTTTTATCCCGCCTTTATTATTTTTTATAAGTATCTCAGGGTGGCGAACATACCTAATACTCTTTCCTCCTCCTATGTTTCTCACAACACCCCTGACCCAAAGTGTACATTTCCTTCATCAACATCAGAACCCTATTCAATCCCACTCCCCCAACTCTCAGTTAGAAAGAGGAGCTTTTAAGCTGGTTAAAGCCCTGTCGTTAGATGATGACATAATATTTAATAATAATCTCTCTTTCTCTGGTCTTCTTGACATTCTGGGTTTAAAAGCCAGAGTTACCATCTTTTCTCCTCTGCTTTCCATTTCCGGCAGCTGTGTCTTACATCCAGTTGTACAGCCAAACTGCTCCTCCCCACCAATGTAGGCTTCCATACAGGCTACGGTATCCAAGAGAGAGAAGAAAGGAACAATTCAGCACATATGGGGCAAAACTCAGGCTTCAGAAATCGATTCTGTTGCCACCTGAACCTCAAATCTAGTCCAAAAGTGCCAACCAAACACAAAATTGTGGCTCCAGCAATAGCCATAATTGCTTTCTTGAGCCTAAGACCCTAAAATGTGTTGGATTTCAACTCCTACAATCCCTATTTAGCACACAGCACATTTCTTCATCCTGCAATCTGTTTTACTTATTTACGTAATTATTTGTTAGATTTATATCCTACTTTTCCTCCAGGAGCTTAAGGTGGTTGACATGGGGACCTCTCTTCATTTTATTCCCACAACAGCCCTGTGACGTAGGTCAGGCTGAAAGAGGGGCTGGCTCAGAGTCTTCCAGAGACCTTATGTGGCTGAGTGGGGACTTGAACCTGGGCCTGCCTACTCCTAGACCAGCACCTTCACCACACTGGCTCTCTAGTTACATTTATGGAACTCACTGTTACAAGAGGAGGTAATGTTCACTTAGCTTTGATGACATTAAAAGGGAATTCAGCAAGTTCATGGAATCTATGTTTATATCATCAAGCAATTGGTTGGGGTAGTTAATGGAGCCTCCATGCTTAGAGGCAGCAGCCTACATCTGGAAAGAAGACAGTAGAGACAAGTAATGATCATTTCCTTTATGTTCTGCTTCCCAGAGACACAGTACTGGGCTCAGACAAGTTGACAGACCTTCAGTCCGATAACAGAAGATGATTTCCTAGGTTCTCTAATAAATATATCAGCACCTCGTGACAGCTAGATGGTGCTCAATTTTCAAAGGCAGTCTACATCCGAAGAACCAGCTGCTGGAACTCCAGAAGAATGTGGTCGGCCTCTGTGGTTGGAAACAGGTTGCAGGGCAGATGCGCAGACGGTCCTGTCCCGCAGGGCTCCTATTAATCTAGTCACTCTTGGGAATGTAGGAACTGGAGGTCCAACAAGCCTCACTTTCCAGATGGGATGGAATTTGTTTCATTTTAAAGACCGGGCACTCCGTTTTTCACCCAGGCCCCCAAAGAGTTATCAAAACCATCCGTGTATGCAAAGCAAGCCTTTTGAAATAACGTCTCTTCTTTTGGCTTTGACAGATTTAGGCTGGGGGAGGAAGCGGGTCCATTCCCACCTGCACTTTCCATTATCCTAGGCTGTTGGTGGGAATGTGTTGCAGAAGCTCCAAAAGAAGAAAGAGAGATGACCCTCCTAAGTGGGGGGAAGGTTCTGGATAATGTAAAGGAGGGGAGGGGGGAGGGGGGTGCTGATAAAGGAGGGGAGGGGGAGGAAGAAAAACCGGGAGGAGGGCTACACAGTCACTGCCTTACCCGATTCGCACTCGGCTCTGGTTGCATTCAGCTCAGCGGTGGCATCCACAAAATGACAGATGGAAAACAGCCGGCAGCCCCGGTAACAGGCGTTGAGAATAGCATCCTGGGGGAGGCAAAGGAAATTGAAGGGTGGGAGGGAGAATTGAGATGATACAACTGCAGTCGTATTTCTCCAAACTTAACACAGCACAAGGGTCCGTGAAACACGCTCTCCCGCGGCTCTATTTTTTGACACCAGTGCACAGAATCATAGAACCGGGAGGTGCTCTGGAGGTCATTTAGACTAAACCCGCTGCTGAGGGCAGGATCTACATGGCCAGTTGCAATGGCAACAATCTGAATAGAGAGTTGTCCTGTCATTTTTTTAACAGCAAAGGAAACCCTGTCCCTTGCAGAGGCAGCTCTTCCCTTGCCAAAGAGCACTTGGGGCTAAGACATTTCTCCTAATGTTTTCCTTGAAATTTCCGCCTTCGGTTCTGGTAGTTGCTTCTGCAGCCCCCAAATACAGATCTGTTCCATCTTCTGCTCAACAGTCCCTTAACTTTGTGTTTCTCAACCCTGGCAATTTTATGACATGTGGAGTTCAATTCTCAGAATTGAAGTCCACAAATGTTAAAGTCACTAAGGTTGAGAAACCCTGCTTTAAATATTTGAAAATAGCTATGATATACAATAAGACATGAGGAACCTGTGGCTCCCAGACCATGTTTGGCCCTCAAATTTTGGCACACACTTGCTGGAAATTGATGGCATGGTTCCCTGCAATTTTAAAAAAAACCTATTTATTTCTCGGATTTATATCCTAACTTTCCTTCAGGCGATAGAGACAGGATTCCCTCCTCTCCTTTTTCCCTTCAACGATTGTTAGATAGGTTGGGTCAAAGAAAGAACCTGGCCCAAAGTCATCCTGTGACTTTTCACAGTTAAGGGTGGAATTGAACCTGGGTCCTGATCTAATATCTTATTCTGAAGCAGGAAGCACATCGAAACGGCGATGTAAGTACTAAAGTAGGCTTAGCAAACTTTAAAGAAAGAGGAATGTAAGCTTTAAACTAGCAAAAGAATAAAATAATGTAGCTTTAAAATGGTAATGTAAGCTTTCAAATAAGCTTCATGAGCTTTAAAGAAACAGAAGAAAAATCACACCAACCCCTCCAAAAACACCATATTAAAAAACAGAAAATTCCTAGCTGCAAATGGTAGTATGTTGAAACAGCACACTCACTTGGGCCAGCTAAAAACCTGCAGTTGCATTCATACAATATGTTGAATCAGGTTAGCACTATCCCTGCCAGTTTAGCATCATAGCTTTATCCATCCTAACTCTTGCTACCAGGAAAATATTAAACATATGCCTGTATCACCAAAAGGTCAGTCTGATTCATACGCACACAGCCAGATTCCTGGTTTTCTAGCGTAACAAAAATAGCAAGACCCAGAACTGTTCTGCATAGTTTGACAGATGATGGGACATAAAATAATAATAATAATAATAATAATAATAACAACAACAACAACAACTCACAAGGTAATCTGAAACCTGAGAACAAGTCACTCTATTTAACTATGGTTTGTGGAACAAGCTATGGTGGCTTAATTTATATGTATCACTGACATAAACTACAGTTTACAAACTAGAACAACAAAGTCCATCCCTCAAGCTCAGTCTTAGCCAAGGTTAAATCAGCTTCTGCTTTAGAAAGGAAATCGAACCAGTCTACCTTACAGGCTCGTGGTAAAGAAAGCACTGGGCCATGCAAGGTGGGTTCCTACAATATGGTGAAGCCCAAACGCAGATTAAGAATGAAGAATTTCTCTATTCGCATAATGAGAACTTTGTGTGAGATGGGCGGCTATATAAATATGATAGATAGATAGATAGATAGATAGATAGATAGATAGATAGATAGATAGATAGATAGATAGGCCTCCCCCGCCTCCCAATAAACCATTTAATATATAATAACATGCTAAGACAATGGCCAGGTGCTCACAAAATGCTGACCACCAACTAGCCAACTCCACTTTGTGTCAGTCCTTCGCGGTAGTCCAGACCAGGAAACCAAACTTGTGAATGCTAATACTACTTTTATCGTAAGGTGACCGTAACAAAATCTCACAAGTCTGAATGCGCCTCTCCCTTCCCTGCCTTTACATTCAAGAGAACTAGGGAGGGTCAAGCCTAAGACGCTTTCTCAAATTACATGCCTGCTTTGGACTCCGATTTCTCTTCTCTGACCGTTCTCTTGGTTATGGCTCTTCCTCCTGTTCCTCAAGGATGGATGGACGGATTTATTTATTTATTTGCTTATACAATTTATATAGCTGCCCATCTCACAAGCAAGCGACACTGGGCGGCGTACAACAGGGATAAAACAGTCAACAAATACATTAAAAGATATAAAAACCAAATTAAAACAAAAAATAATAGACGAAGGAATGTTAAAAATAATGGAGCCACCTCACTAGTTTACCCGTCCCCTGGGGTCCCCAGGCCTGCTGGCATAACCAGGTCTTGAAGGACCTCTGGAAGTTCAACAGTGATGAGGCCAACCTCACCTCAGGGGGGAGAAGATCCCACAGCATGGGCACCACAACAGAAAAGGTCCACTGGCTAGGGCAACCTTGGCAACTTTAAGACATGTGGCCTTCAACTCCCAGAATTCCCCATATGCTGGCTGGGGAATTCTGGGAGTTGAAGTCCACACATCTTAAAGTTGCCAACCCTGGCCCAGGGCCTGCCAAATGTAGCTCCCTAGGCGACAGAACCCATAACATGCCCTCTCTGCTGGATCTAGTAGGATGGGCAGATGAAATTGAGGAGAGGCGGTCCCTCAAATAACCCGTTCCCATGTCATGAAGGGCTTTAAAGGTCAACACCAACACCTTGAATTGGACCCAGAAACAAGCTGGTAACCAACACAGCTTGTGAAGCAGAGGTGTAACATGTGTTCTACCAGAAACACACATAACTGCTCATGCTGCTGCATTCTGCACTAGCTAAAATTTCCAGATACTCTTCAAGGGCAGCCCCATGTAGAGTGCATTGCAGTAGTCTAAGATTATTCTCACAGCCCATTACATCTTGGTGCATTGTGTGAATCCAGTCAAAATACTGTATTTCCAGTGAACTGAGAGCCCTGGCAAAACATCCTTATATAAGAATTTAAAGCTTATCATACCCTCAGGATTAGGCTATATCAGTGTTAAGAGCTCATGGAAAAAATGCACCACATCTTTCAAATAACTGTACAACTGTTGTTGTTATTATTCTTAGCTCTGCCCCCAAACAATTCACAGTTGAGCAACTCTTGGAGCAACATTTGTTGGCGTAAAAAATGTGCAAATTGTGCTATGGATGTTGCTCTGGGAAGAGATTGACCAAGTATGGTCAAGACAGCTAATCATCCCCCTTGTTTTCCACCCCAGGATTCCACAATATTAAGTGGTGGATTAAAAAGACATTTATAACACAAGCCTATGCATTACGCAGAAGTAACCCCCCCCCCAAATTTAAAGGCGCTTCCTCCAAGCTAAGTGTACTCACAGCAACTTTCTCAACCTTGTCGCTCAAATAGGTGTTAAATTACAACTCCCATGCTGACTGGAACTATGCAGTTGTAGTCCAATATAGATGGAGAATGCTAGGTTAGGGAAGGCTGATATATTAAATAAATAGGTTAGATTAGTATCCTATCTTTCATTCAAGAACTCAAGATTCCCAAGATTGGGCTGGCAAAAAGGGATTGGTCCAAAGTACCCTACTGAGTTTCTATGGCTCAGGGTAATCTAGATCCATGTTTCTCAACCTCAGCAACTTTAAAATGTGTGGACTTCAACTCCCAGAATTCCCCAGCCAGGATGGGAATCTAGATCCATGTTTCTCAACCTCAGCAACTTTAAAATGTGTGGACTTCAACTCCCAGAATTCCCCAGCCAGGATGGGAATCTAGATCCATGTTTCTCAACCTCAGCAACTTTAAAATGTGTGGACTTCAACTCCCAGAATTCCCCAGCCAGGATGGGGAATTCTGGGAGCTGAAGTCCACACATCTTGAAGTTGCTGAGGTTGAGAAACACGGATCTACAGTATTAGCACTGTGGGCTTCATTCTCTCCCACCACTCCTTTCTTCTCTAGAGATGCACTTTCCAATTCAGAGCTCTCCAGAAATGTTGGACTACAACTGCCATCATCCTCATAACCATCACTGCTATTGGGGAAATGAGAAAACCCGTTTGGTGTAGTGGTTAATAGCGCTGGTCTAGACGCCAGGAGGCTGTTTGTTCTAGTCCTGCCTTAGGTACGAAAGCCAACCATGTGACCTTGGGACAGTCCCTCCCTCTCACCTTGAGGAAGAAGGCAAGAGGAAGGCATTTCCAAAAATGGCACCAAGAAAACTCCACGGATTTGTCCAGATAGTCACCAGGAGTCAAGACAGACTCGAAAGCCAAAACAACAACAGGAAAACAATCAGGGAAATGATGGGCTTTGTGGTCCAAGTCATCTGGGAGGTTGTCTTTGAGCTGTACATTTTGGCTTTTTTATCTCCATCACCAATTTTTAGCCTCAACGGGTCTTTATTTATTTAGCCATATATTTTTTAAATAACAGTGTTGCTAACTCAACACTGGTTTTGTACCCATATAAACTAATGGGATCAGAGCTAGCAGTGACTGATGAGGAGAGAGATCTTGGAGTAATGGTAAACAGAGTGCATCCACTGTAAAAAAGGCCAACAGCCTGTTAGGGACAATAAGAAACAGTACTGACAATAGAGATGCCAATGTCATAACACCATTATCTAAATCAATGGTGCGACCACATCTGGAATATTGCGTGCAGTTCTGGTCGCCGCACCTCAAAACAGATATAGTGGAGCCGGAGAAGGTTCAGAGGAGGGCAGCTAAGAAGATCAAGGGGCTAGAACTACCCTATGAAGAAAGGTTTGGGGCTTTTTAGTCTAGAAAGGAGGCGAACGAGAGGGGACATGACTGAGGTGTGCAAAATTATGCATGGGGTAGATAAAGTAGACAAGGAAGAACTACCTTCCCCTTCCCCAAATACTAGAACCAGAAGTCACCCATTGAAATTGAATCCTAGAAGAATCAGGTCAAAAGGACATGTTTTTTTACACAGGACATAATTCGGTTCCAA